CGACCTCCTCTGCAAAAAAGGCAGTTTGCTGAAGCGAAGCGAACCACATCCAACTGACCGTACTGGAACTTGTGACGTGCAAGAAATCCTTTCAGATTACCAGGGAACGCGGAATCAATTATAGCTAAAGATGCAACACCAGTGACTTTTAGGAACTCTGCCAACGAATCCTCAGTGCATGTGAAGTCAACACCGTAAAAAATTATCATACGAAATTGCGTATGACGGTGTCGCACTCCCTCAACCAAGCGGTTGAGTAGAGATGTTTCGAATGAAACCTGAACCGATCGAACAGTCGCCAAAATGAAGAATGGAAACACTTTTCAAATGAATTTTCAAGTCTTCGAGCACTATGGCTCACCCTAGAGAATACAGCCAGCTGGAGGTGATAATGAGCACGTGAACGCAAATATGTGGTCAAATCGATGAGATCCTTGAATACGCAACGCCTAGGGTACTGCGTGAACGCACTGTGCTAAAATGAAGTGATCATTTTTACTGTATTTGCTAACGTCACTGCATTTTTGGACGCTATTTCGGGTCCAAAAAAGACTATGCAAATGGAGACGACGTACCTGGCCGACAAAGACCTTCTGTAGTAGTGGTCCAATAATAGAAGAATGCCTTTCAATTATCGCATTCATATCCCGGCAGGTAAGGCGAGCGTTGCAAAAAGATTCGCAGCTCATCTAAATTTTGAAATATGGGTATCATAGTTGGAAATCACCTCCAAACAGGACAGCTAGTACTTTGATAGTAGTCTTTGCGAACGTAATTTTCAAAACATGAGACAGTTTCGCAACTTCCTTCTTTACGTTTTGAATTTTGCATCATTTCACATTATTATAAATCAATATAATCGCTTGACTCTAACAATTTAAGACTCTGGTGTTTTTAGCTGCTCTTGGAGAAAGCAATGTGGACCTATAGGGGACGTCAATGGACCGAGGACGAGGAGGGGGGGAATGGGTCGAGAATTTTGAAGGCTACTTATATTTGTAAAAAATGTGCAAGTGACTTTTTCATACTTGTAAATAATTGCAATTTTTTACATTTTTCAAAAATTTAATTTAGCTTGGAAAAATATTTTTTGGAGGCCGCAAAGATTGGGAAGCATGCCAAAAAAGTTTTCGGAAAGTGCTAACGCCAAGCACCCTCATCAAAAAACTTTAGTTCTCCCTCCCTCCCGCGCCGAGCGAAAATCCTGGACATCACTGGTGGGCGTATATAGGGCTGTAGGCTGCGTCGTCTAGTGTCGCCAAAATTTTCTTGAGCTGACATAAATGAACATAAGAGTGTCATAGAACAACGAGCT